AGTGAATTAACTTGAGCCACTTGGAAAGATTCTGAACCATACCAACCAATGTTACCAACAACTAAATAAGATGATTATCCAGACCTTAACTAGACAGTCTACAACTAACTGAATGACTCAGGTCAACAGTCAGTGTCTTTATAGACTGATGTCATATTTTGGTTTGACACCCCTCCCCAGCTTTCTTCCAACTTATCTTTACACCTACCATCAGGCTTCGAATTAGTCAGTGGAATAGGATGCATAATGCACGTTCTAACCATCTATGTAGATGAAGATTCCTTACCTTATGAACCAATTTGCTACATTTACTCAGTACTCTATATATCGCTTAGACAGCGCTCAGTCGTTACTTTCACAATATGCGAACAAGGCTTCGAAACCACCTATGATCGAATACGAGTAACCAATGAATATCCTCATTTCTTGATGGCAGTGTTTGACATCCGTAAAGCAGAAGAAAGGGGACTGCTGAGCAGCACACACTGCTTGATAGACGGGCATATCACAAGTGACGCAAACCAGTAAACGCCAATCGAATACATGCCGAGATTTCGTCAGGCACTAGGCTATCAAGACTGATCACAATCCCAAAATAAATGAAATGACCAACAAGCACAACTACCTCTCTATCATTAGCTCAAATGCTGACGCGGATCAGTCCTGAAGCAACAATTTGCATTTATATGGAGAGAAATGCACCCCAACCATGCTTGCATAGTTGCTTAAGGGGGTCAGAAGACTGCATTTTGCCAGCATCTTTACCAAACAGAACATTTCTGTCTGCATATCGTAGGTCAACAAGTTGATCTCCTGCCAGATAAAATCCTGAAAAAAAGTAAACGAGAGCTCAATCTCTACGAGAATATCTACGACAAAGTTAGATAAGAAAAGGGGAAGAGAAAAACCCATGACAAACGCCAAGTCAGGTTGACAATTCCAATAACAGTTGGTCATAAGTTGTAACTCGACTAATAGTGTTCGAGTAAAAATCTTGTATAAAGTTGATGTACTTTTTTGGCGGGCCTTCTAATGGCGAACACTTACATAAAATCTTTCGGTCAACACAGATGAGTGCTACCTCGAGGTCAAGGAATACATCAATGGTCGGGAGTCGGTAAGTATGCCTATGCTGTAAGCCCTAACAATAAATAGTTATTTAGTTAATGCATTCATGTTCAGGTCTTAAAGTAGTCTAGTTTCCTCGGGTTCGCTATTCACAACCCCTAGATAAGCGTTAGATGATTACAGGGGATAGTATTTTAAACACTATATTAGTCAAACTTTGTGATTGTCACAAGAGAATTTCTGTCTTTCCATATAAACTGGGAGGATCAGAGATCGAGACCAGTCAGATAAGATAACTTCCAATCCCCAGATTTTAGTTAATATTTCAGTCAGTTTAAGAGCAGAGACCGGACCATCATTCTGAAAGGAACCTAGAGTTATTCGATTAGACCTTTTTGTTTTCCTTCGCTTTAGACTAGCAATAGACCTTTTAACCTCCCTAAGAGTTGATGGGCTAATCCCAACCTCTCACTCTGGTTTACCAGAGTAGTGAGCAACAGGAAGAGATGAAGGCCAGTTGCTTAAAGTGGTCTGCCGATTGTTTAGTGAATTATGAACAGTAGCTAAGTCAGAGCAATATACAGAAGAGAAATCTAAAAGATTACTATTCACTTGACAAATGTCAAAAAACGAACACATTAATAAGAACTAAGATAATCCCAGAGCAGTTATGACCATGATAACAAAAAAGGTTTGGAAATGTCGTCTATGAACTCAGAAACCGAGCTTGATGTGACAGATTGGTTTTTCTCTGCACAAATTTCTAATCTCAAATCACTTGTGGTCAGGACATTTGGTTTTGTGGACGAAGGAATGAATAACCGGAACTGTCAAGGTTTTCAATAATTTTTTATTTTTATTTACCTTCGGACAACCATGAACGGTAGTGCATTGGTTTGAGCTTGAAAAGGGAACGCTTTGTGTGATCACTAAGTGACTAAATGAGAGAAGAGTAATGCCTCTGCAGTCTTCACACTTGCTGAGATCGTCTTTCTTCGATAGACTATAGATAAGGATATTCTTAGCTCACTAGTGTCGAAAGGAACAATGAATCCAAAAGTTATTAGCTTAAATCTTTAAGGAACGTATATTTGTAACCAAATATAAACAATGAATGCTTATAATAAGACTGTCCCATACAACAGAGTTATTAATAGACTATATTAAAAGTATGGGTGGCGTCTGATTCATATGTAATTTTATTCTATTCAATTAATTCTTAGTCTAAGAAGTAGTCGGATAAGATGTTTACATGCTGAAACTTGTTAGTTATGCGTATTAAATCAAATGATAATAATGACACCAGTCAAAAAGAAATTACTACTGTCCGTATGTTAGCATTGTGTACTCAGTCCTATATCATAAATAGACTGATTAGGAAGAGGCATGATGCTGGAAAATAGTTATCAATGGGTAGTCAACTCATATCTAATATATATACATGAATATTTTGCATGCCCAATGGGAAATAAAGTCACTCAAGTTACTTTGGAATCTACTGAACACTATGATTTAGTTAACTGAATTTCGAATCATTTAACATGGAATTATTGGTAAACAAACAAACAGATATGTACTTAAATTTCATCGATCAAAGATGAAAATTTGTGATGGGTTCCAGAGAATAATAAGATGATAAAACTACAGAATTTCTCGGTGATTGAACAATAAATCAGACGTTTGCTAAATAATAATAATAATAATAATAATAATAATAAAAAATAAATAATAGTAATAATAATAATAATAATAGTCGCATTATGTAGATCTATGACCTTGATACAGCTTGTCTATACAATGAGAAACTTTCAATTCGAGTGCAGTTACACTAAATACTGGAAAACTGATAATAATCATCATGACCTTTTCTGATATCACTAGGAAAACTTATTAGTAACGACCAAAGTATTAAGAGATCAGCTATTGTGTGTAAATGATTATACTATGTCACTGGAAGTGGAACAGAAATTAGCATTTAAGAGCAGCAACAGAAAGTAGCAAGTGTTTTATACACGGTAAGAAAATGATGTGAGAAAACAGAAACTCACATTTCATAAAGAAAAGACAACAGTATCGCAAGTAAGTGCTTTAGAGGGATTTAAATAAACCATAGACTGAGTTGTTCAGGGAAGAATTGTAACTCAAGAACGAGCTGATAAAAACTAAGATAGGATCTATTGGGTTTTTGCACGAAATTCATCCATTCGTAGAGGTAAATGGCGTTCTGGGGTCGCAGCTGATGTCAGTTCATGATGAAAAACCTGAACCGCAGCATCGCTCAAAGCTCATCTACAATTTTTTGCCTAGCCTTGTTTGGCTATTCAACACACTTAATCGTAGCTAACCCTAGAAGATACTTGACCCAAGAATATTACAAAGTTATGTACGTTACGTTTTCCCAAATTAATGCTTCGACCACATATTATTACACAAAAAAGCACACAAAGTTATAATCTCCACAATACCAGGATAGGTAACTTACAGCAACCCCTGAGAACGACCATTTTTTATGAAATATCCGTATATTTTAGTACAGATACCATAAAGAACTCTTAACACTTAGATCAATGAGCACCATAGATCGAGGAATACATAACGTATTTCGTAGTGCATTAAAGAAATTAACTGATTCATTCCACTTAACTAACCTCTGGAACCACTAATAGAATCTTGAACAGTTTCCACAGAAGACAAGTAGCTAACTGTTTAGTAAAGCTTCTGTGATATAACGGTAACTTTTGCAACTGTAAATAATATTCTGCTTATTGGATGATCGTTATTCAATATTGCAATGATCGTCCTTTAACACTTTGCTAGCTAAGTCAGTAATTCCTTGAGATTAGATTCTTGTGGTTTGATAGTAACTTGTTGAGCTAGTGGATCCAACATTAGAAGCCAAGTCGATTGGAAGTAGAGACAACTATGGTGTTTGAAGGAACGTTGTTTGACGGACTCAAATGGCCGAAAATAATAGTATGGAAATAAAGGCGTATTATGGAAGAAACAAAAATATGAAACCACCTGATATGTTAGACGCAGTTAAACTACACCTAAAGGACACTGAATGGTTTGATATCTAATGATATCCGTATGTCGTTATTAAGACACATTGGCCTTAAAAGCATCACACAACTGAGTCGTTTTGAGGTTAAAAGTATAGATCTTGATAGATATGGTTGATATAATAATGAACTTTCATTCATCACAGTCTTTGTAAAATCTGTCACACGTCTCCCACACCACCTTAAGAGTGAAATAAATAATACTATAAGGGTAGGTCGAGACAACCTGAGGTGCCCAATCCAAGACAGTATTAGCCCTTAATATCACAGACTATTAGCTTGAGACAAGCAGAGTCTCGGCTTACTAGTACGCATTCGTGAGACAATCATTATTGGTTGTTTGAACCTTGTAGCAGCATAATCCGAATCGATGGTGATAGGAATAATTTCATTGACTGGTTAGTAACCTAACAGATCCATATTTTAAAATGTTTGATGTTAAAAATGACTTGAGTTATATTTATCTTATACGAAGTCATTTGTAAGTTTGCTATTTTACTGCATAAAAAGTAGATTTTCGTTCACCACTTGTTCTGTCTTCTCAGAACTATTGATCTAAGCAAGGACTCAGAGTTAAGAGTTAGGTTTCAGTGGGTAATCGTTACTCGGTTACAAGTGATTAATTGAGCCAAACGAATTCATAGTCAAGCCACATGTTCTTATTTGTTATAACAAACCTTAATAAACGAGCACTTTGTGCATAGATTTTGAGTAGCCTTGCTCATCTCAGGTTAAGGATACGCCTTTACGGTTATCAGCCAAACCGAGATAAAGAATCTATCCTAACTGTTTGTAACTATTCCAACGATAGGTAAAAATTTACAAAAGTCAAGTTACAATAAATTAGATACCAGCAAAATTTGAAATTACCTGATTTTTAAAAAATAAGGTACTAATTTCCAAAATCCTGATTTACGCGTTTTTTCCACATAGTCCTGGAAATCTCTGTAAAAGAAAGCACAGTATAATTTAGTATATTAATATATTTATGACAAAGATCAAATATAACGAAAACTCATTGCTCAAATAGATGAATACATTATACAAGTGAAAATATTATTAAAAATCTTTTTAGGAGTAAAGAAATATGATAAGCGATACACTTCTTACATGAATGCAACACATTCGAGCAAGTTAACATGTAAGTAAGAAAAATTATGGACAATGAGATCATATTTTTCTTGACTAAATGAAATGACTTCAAAAACCGACATAAATATACTACTTCAAGTTTTAATACTTCAATACATCATAACGAAAGTGTTGGAGTGATCCGGCAAATTTCTCGCAAAAGACACACAAGGATCAGGAAACACTAGGAAGCGTTTCCTCCAATCAGCGTCCACTTGAAGTTTTAGCCAAAAATATCAAGGAAGTGAAACATCGAATGCAAAGGTTCTGATTAGTTGATTACTACATTGCTTCTATGTTTAGTAGCATTCCAGAATCTTCGAGCAACCCAAGGACATTTAAAATATTATAAAAAACATGTATTTTCTGTATTGAAATGAACCTTGGAGTAAACTAATTCTCGCATAATTTGCGTCTACTCTCTCGTTGTTTAGGTCGCTGTATAGTTCTAGCTTGGGTGTTTCAGAATACCTTAGGAAACGAATATAACGTTCAATCCGCAAGACTTATCAGAAAGGACATGCATTTTAAGATGCAAACTATTAAAGAAGTTCAGAATGGAAAATATGAGTATTAATCGTGATAGATTAATAGTTACAGCATATGAATTACAGGGACTGAGTTGTAACCTTGAACTTCATTGTATTTACTTAGTCATGGTTAGCTGGATAGTATCACTAACTTTCATGTAATATGTGTTACTTAAAAACAAATCATCTGAATACATGATTGTTTACAGCATTTGATTGGAATTTATTTTTTTAAAAATAAAGCAAAAGTATAGAGTTTATTCACTAAGTTCTTTTTAATAACCCATTTCTAACCTATTTTGAATTGATTATAGGGAAATTACATTTTCTTTATACAACAAACAATAATATTATAATTAAGTTCATAATATGACAAGAGCATTCCTAAAATTTTCTTATTCTACATTAAATCAATTAACATGTTATTTTATTGCTTAAATCATTATTAGTTTAAGAATATATACAGCTTTGAATATAATGTAATGTAATGTAAAGCTATGTAATTTTTATGCAACTTATTTTATTATTTCACACATAACAAACATTAGATATTTATTATTAAGGTTTTTAATAAACAATAATCTTAATAATTCTATATCTTTCTGTTGGGATAGTCGGAAAAATATACCAATAATGATCGTTTAAGTCTATGGTGGCCTTGGACCTTAAATGTACATTCCCTATTGGTCAATGTTTATTTCACTTGTTAAATATTGTGTAAATGTTGTTTTCTATTTTATGGTACGATGTGGTTTGTTTGTTTGGTATATAAATAGAGTATGTCTGAAATACAATGATTCATAACTCAGAGGCTGTGACTTGTGTCCTGGACTCAACTAGCTGGGATAGACAGGGTAGCGGGACCAATCGAGACTCTAGGTCGTCTTTGCGTGTTTACGTGTCCACTGTAACCGATCGATATAAACGCTGTTTATCAAAACTTGCAGTCACCCGTTACAACACTTTCTTTTATGTAATTATTATTTTAAAATAATTAAATGTTGATTACATTCTCTAATATATTTAAAACAATTAGTCCCTTTGATAAATTTCGATAATGCAATGAGAAGACGAAGTTTATCAGCATTTGTAGTGTTATACAAAAGCCTTCAAGAGCGTATACTAAGGTTTATTGAAGCCTTGGCTATACGGAAATTGAAACACCCTTTATGTGTTTAAAAACAATTTGTCCTTACACTTAACCTACCCTGGTAATACTGATTTATTATCCAGAGTGGTAATCACATTTGTTTTTTTCTATGTACTTTAATATTTTTCCTTTGTTATGACTTACCTTTAACCTGTCTAGTTGACTTTTTAATTTTCATATATAAATGTTCTTAACATGTATATGTGTGATCAGATTGTTCGAAATGTATTGCGCAAATATATCACATAATTCTGATAAACTTCATCTCATTGCACTATCGAAATTCTAATATGTAATCAACATATTTACGTTTAAAGTTGTTTTCTTTCTTTTGTTTAACTTAATATGAAATGTGTTTAGGATTTAATTCAAAATCCTAATGATAATACCAAATTTAATTGTTTGAATCACTAATTTATTAAAAGAAATTAATACAAAATATTTTGAGGTTTGATAATAACAAAAATGTAGTCAGTGAACTTTTAGAGAAACTTCACAAATAAAAAGTGCTAACAGATAAGATTAAACTTATAAGGTAGATGGAAGTCAGTCAGTCAGCATCGATCCAAGTTGCCGTACCGCATTAGCATAAGATGAACACCGAATTCATAGTAGTTAACTTAATGGTGGTAATATATGAAAGAAAGATTGCAATAAGGACATAATACAGGGAGAAAGAATTAGTAGGTAGAAAGATATAAAGCAACTTTAATCCCATAGTTTAAGGGAAGACAAAGAGTATATACACCTACGCCATTGTGATCGATTCTGAGCCATGTCACACAGAGTCTCCAACCACTGGTTACGATAGTCACGCGGACCTCAACCAAGTAGTCTGCATCTACCAACATGTCTGAGATTGAGAGTAAAAAAATGGTCTTCGGTGAGAATATCCTTAAATAGTGACTTATTCTTAGACCAGATGATTGGAAAAATCAGGCCAACCTGTCAAGAGATATTTTGACTGATTTCGCACTACTCTCCAAATACTCACTATCTACGAATAGCTTCATTAGAATATTAGGGTCGAAGCCCCAATTCTTCACAGAATTGAAGCACCTGTAGCTAATGTAAAACGAAGAAGAGCATCAAACCTTGATAAATTAACTGCAGAGGTTCTTAGGGATGATGGTCAAGTATTATCAGTTTTATGAGATGTAAACTAAGATATGTAAGCTAGTCGTGTCGTCATTTTACTGATTTCGAAAACTGATCAATACTGACGATAAAAGGCATGAAAACCCTCTTTGGTAACTATGGAAGAATGAGCTTGACTAGCATAACTCCTAAAATCGTAGTGTGCATAATTATTCGACGCTCAATTGGAGCTCGGCAACAGTGAAAAGCAGATGTTTTGAATTTTGTGTGAGTAAATTAACAAAGTATTTGCATTTCTTTAGCCTAGCGAACAATCGTTCACCATTAAAGAAAACAAAAATTAGCGTAAAGTAACATTGGATATTCTTAAACGGTGTGTAGTTTAAACAGAATTTTCCATCAGTTCAGTGTTGAGCACCATTAAAGTTCATACTGTGAACAGATATACCTTTTGGGGACAAATTCTCTATCGATTATTTCTTGTAATATAAGGTACAGGCCAATGCAAATCTATGAAGAAAAAAAAAATCACAAAGTCAGTGTAACAAATAAACAATATCCACGCTGATTACCGAAATCTAGTTAGTTGCATTGTAATAAAAAAATCTGAAAACTGAATAATGGTTTCACTTTTTCAGAGGTGAAGTTATCCAATAATCTTAGACAGGAGAGTGCACTGCTTTACCTTATTTGAATATGATCAACTGACCAGAAATAAGTCATAGCCTATTGAACTGAGTCGTGTTGGTAAGTCTAAACTATGTGGTTGAAGCTCGTGAGATTGTCGTAGCCAATAAACTAAAAGGTTAAGTGATTTGGCACATAAACATTCACATTAGCTACAACGATAATATTGATGCAAAATGCAAGAATCAAGCCTAAAGCTTTGATCTGGATATTGTTGGTGTGTGAGCGAATTCAGAAACCTATACCTATAGCTTGTGTTTCAAGAGACCTCTAATGATGTTTATTTTGAATAAACCATTGCAATATACCAGAGTAAAAATCTATTGTGTTAGGTAATCGTATTATCTTTCAACAACAGTTCGATCGAATGCCTACATTATTAATTCGGTTATGAAGTTACCAATAGGTCACGTGAAATTACTAAGTACCGAGTAGCATTCTATCTATCCATCATTTGAATAGCTCAAAAAGTGATTATAAATATCTAAACCTACACCTCCATAGTACATTGACTACTCTCTAGTATTAAGAATAGTATGTATGAAAGTTTGCCCTTTTATGGCTCATTCTAACAATTGTCTACATATTCGTTATTCCATTAACAGATTTTAACGACACCTCAGTTAGATGTGTAAAATGTGGTCAAAAGTGTTCGCAGTTGAATGGTAAACTTTATTATCAGCAGACTAACGGTGTAAATGTATAAAACATTTTAATTAACAATTGCTTTACAAGGTTAGTCGGCACGTCAAAAAACCTGGACTTCAAAGATCCTGTCATGTTTTCTGACCATATGATCATAAATGAATATGTAATGAAAAACTACTCACTAGATGATTTGCATTGAAGTTAAAAATAATAATTAAGGGTGCTGATTAACTTAAATCACGTATAGTATTTATTCAATTATAGAAGGAACAACCTCATAATGTTACGACAAATGAAATAAATTATATACATTTATGAAATCGAAAGTAGATTTTTTCTTTAACAAAAACTCGTTATTTTATAAACTTGAAGATCATACGGACGAAAGCTTAGACTTGAGTTTAATGAATCTTAACACTTGATACTACGGTATTATGATTGTATGATCATTAGTGTTGATATAAATAACATCAAGTACATTGGATAAAATAGAACCAATTTGTTTCTGTAGATTTAATAACAGTAAACAATCATGTAGACACAGAATACCATAATTAATAAATAGTATTCTTGTGACGTTTCACACTCAAGACACCGATTCTAGGCTACCTAACCTGGAACCATGAAATAATAAATTCAGATTGTGTACATATCACACAGTACTAAAATAAAAAACAAGTCTCTAATCGTTTTAGTCAATTAATTTATGCGTTACTTTATTGACGAACGCTTTAAAGCAACATAACTTACGACGAATATGGCGCTATTGACTACCAAGTTGAACGGAACTCCTTCGAATCCCCATATATATTCGGAACCATTTATATTTCGGTATGAATGTGGTGCACACGTTGACATTCCGCCTCCTAGATGTTCATAAAACTTAATTTTATTTGTTAAAACAACTAAAACGTGAAAGAAAACTGTGTATTAAAACATGACCTAAGCTGTTCATGATAAAACTACACGACAGGATTAAATGCAGGCTGCAGAGCATTAAAATGGTATCAAAATTCTAAGCTAAGTTTTAGGGTGACTACAGGGTATTTGAATAGAACGAAGTAATGAATACTTTCATTCTTGTAAAACCTCTAAACAACTTTTAGTATAGCTTTCAACTAACTTGATTGGACTCCGACAAATCAGAATCCCGCGGCAAAACGAATAACTCAAACATAAACGACCTAGGAACTAACACATTTGGGTCTAAATTACCGAAACATATCAGGACAGCTATAGGAAATCGACAAGATAACTGATAAAAAATAAGAATGATAGTAGTAGGGAATATAAGAATGAAGTAATAAAAATTTTGAGACCCGTATTGAAGACTCTGGTGAAGTAATACAAATTCGCTCTCCATCTGTCGCTTCAAAAAGCTTGTTTTATGTGCGTTTATCTGGGGACCCTGTGGCATATTCGTCTGGTCTTGCTGGCGTTGGTGTCACACTGCGCTAGAGCTGAGGCAGCACTAATCGATTGGATCCCCATTAACAGTCGGTTATGTGCTGTTAGATTAAAAAGTTCCATCAAAGTGAGAAGAGATCGGCGTGAGAAACGACGTCTTTTCGTCATCTCCGCCTGTGCCCCGACAGATTACAGCCCAGCTGCAATCAAGTATGAATTCTACCACCAGTTAACTGTTCTTCTCCAGAAAGTGCGTTCGACAAGTATTGTAGTACTAGCCGGAAAAATAAGGATACACAAAGTAGGAATAAAAGACAGTGAATAAGTGACGTTGTAAATAGTAATAATAATGTGAATTGTTTGACTGTTAATCGAAGCGTGAATAGAATTTTCAGTAAATATCGTCATTTTCATTTATTTGTGTGTGGGTGCCCAGACCGAAGCAGGTGGTTTTCTTAGGAGGTCACACTCCGAACCTTTGACCTAAAGGTCTGACCCACAAGGCAGTGGAGCATCGTGAGGAGATGCAGTCCCATGGTAGTCGGTGACCAACGATTGGTTCATACGCCATTTGTTCCCTCAGGATACTGGAGCCCATGTGCACCATTGTTTCGGGATCCGGTTAGAGCGCCGGATATTCACTTTTCGTCCTTTCATTTTCATAAACAACAGTAATGCCGCGAGAAGGCAGTGAGTAGGACTTCTCTGGAAGAGGCTGTATACGCGTGGCCATGTGAGAGCATTTCGACCATAGCTGGGTATTCAGGGGCTACCTCAGTGATAAAAACTGGGTTGTTAATACATCAACTTATGTCATAACGAAAACACTTTAGAGCACTTCACGTCAAAATTTCATGCTTTGGATTATGAATAAAGTCGAAGTCTATTTTCTCAAACATGTATACTTCAAAAAAATAATAGTACTTTGAAATACCAAGCACTTTTGTAGACTTTTGAAAAGATACATGGGCCAGGAATTGATAAAGAATATTCATGAAGGAGTAATGGCCCGTCTGAAAAACGTAGCTAAAGCAGTGAATATTACTTTCGAGATATAAGTATGACTCAAGTTTATGAGTGTTATTTTAAAACCATAAAATGATAATAAGCTTTCAAGAACTGACCAAATCATAACACAGTACATCAACCTGTTCTATAGATCGTTTAATGACATATTAGGTAAATAACAAGTCGTTAGGATATAAAATATGACGTTCAAAACAACTAAAACTCTTAATTAGGATTTTAAAATCCCTTTGAAATAAAACCCAGCCATTGGATTCTACAATAACAGTGAAAAAGCTATTTTAGCTTCCACTAAGTGAGTCCACTTATGGTCTCAGTGTGACTTCTGAATGATTTTCAGGTGCTGAATTTAATAAGGGTGTCGTTCATAGAATTTGACACTTAAAATACAATCGGAATTCTCACTGAGATCACAAGCAGACTCAATAAGTGGAAGCTAAAACAACTTTTTTATTGGTACTGTAAAAACACAACGGTCGACCGATATGGCTTTGCCTGGAAAAAAATGCTACAAGCAACACTCTGCACAGAGATAGTTGAGCGGTCAAAACGTCCGGACCTCAATGTCTAAGCTTCAGCTTAAAACTCGTTTATTTAGACCTTCTAAATAAGAGCGACTAGTTGAAAAGCAATTTCACGTCAGCTGAGCCTTTTAATTATGGTCATTCCAAAAAATGGTCTTCTTTACACAAGTTTGTTTGCTAAAGGCCTTTATGGTGTTTGTATGAACTAACGATTCCTTTGTACTTGTTGAATGTATAAATATATATATGCCTTAAAAAACACAAAATATCGGAAAACCAAGAAACAAAGAACATTTTATATCAAGATTTACACACACAAAAATTTCGTACCTAATAAACAATTATCTTACGATGTCAGCAACTTACTGCCCACTGAACCAAACGACCGACCCAGATCAAGGTCGAACTGATGTGTTTTCCGCGCTTCAGTTATTAGTTCTATGTTACTGGTTGTGATTAAGAAAATTATTTTTGAGCGTAACGGTCAATAATAACATGTTTTCAGCTGGAGACAATAGTTTTTCATTAGACGCAAATGTTTACATTTGATTTGTAATTATCAAAGATTAAACTAAATAGCATTTGCTTCATGAGTAACCACTCTTGTAGTAATCCTAGGCTTACTGCCAGTTCCAAGCCCTAATGAAGAAGGAGGGTTCAGCATCAGGTCCTCGACCTCACGCTAACTAGAATAAACAAATTGCATCATTTACACTCGAGTTTGGGAGTTGAAGGTCTTCCAGAAAAATTATGAAGCCGCATGGTGAAAGCCGATATTCTTCTGACGTCACAAGGCCGATACCCCTTGTTTCATGAGTGTCCACTTTGGTGAATATCGATATTTTCATTGGTTCAGCACAATTATCACTGTGTTATTACCATAAATTAGTGAAAAAATGTTGTTGATGTACCGACCAAGAATATCTCCATTTCTTTAGTATCCGCCTTAAATATTAACTAACACGGTTACATACTTGAGGGTTTCCTCAGTTCTCACTGTTTTTAAGCTCTATTTTTCCATGGAATTATAAACTACCTCAAATTCGAGACCATATTACGTCAAGTATAAGTTATCGCGTGACAGGTTTTGCAAGCTAACGAACTTAGTATAAATTGAAAGCAGGAATAAGTAAGTGTCCAGCTATGTTCGTGGGATTATCGCCCCCCTAAATGTTTATGCTTTTGGGATTCGACAGTAAAACTGTATCCTGGCCAGAAAAAGTCAATGAAACTATGTGAAATCTTGATAACCAAAAATGAAAACCAATTTTATATTTCGTTATTGCTAAGTTTATGCTGTGGCTTCTGTTGAGCGAATGTTGAAATTTTATAATAAACATATACCTGAAAGGCTTGATGGTTCTATACAATAATAAGAAGTGTTGTTTGCTACTTGCAGAAAGTCAATGAAATTAAACATTTAGTGTCACAATCTGTGGTCCTTTCAGACGGTGGAAAATGTGATATCGTTAGTCATTTCGGAAGATAAGCTCAGTGGTGAATAAATTTTTCAAAATAATTCTCACTGTAATTCCGTATAATACCATATATTTGTCTTCAGTGCACATGTGCCTTTGCAGCCCATCTGACGGGAGCACGTTCCACCTAATCTTCAATAACAGTGAGTATGAAAACATAATATTTATTCACTCATTCCCAAAGAATAAGAAAACACTGGGACGTATTCAAAAGTGAGCCATGAAATCAGTTCGACGACTAAAATATAAGTCCTATGAAAAGCGCCTCCAATCACTGAACCTTTACTCATCAGAATATAGACATCCTAAACACTTCTGGACACACTATTAAATACTTAATTAATCTCAGTCCCAACACAACTCTTTGGGGTAACACAAAGATATTGGAAACACAACAGAATAATGTACTGTAGGTATACTAAATCTTAACCAATAGTCGAATTCCGGATCTTGCAAACGGCTGAGCTAGCCCAAACAAATTTTCAGGAGTCCTTTAACAGGCAACTTGACATATCCAAAGGAACTAAGGACAGTGTCTCACTATGATTACTAATATTCCTTCTTTCTTTTTGGTCGTTAAACACATTCGGGTCCCCACATGGAGGCATTGGTGGTCGAGTGCTACTAGGTGCGATAGCCCGTTAAGCGAAAGCTTTTTCTATTCTGTCCGGAACTATTTGGACCACTTGAGTCTTTGTCCTCTATGATATATTGTAGAATGTCCAATGATAAGTGATCCGTCGTATAATATTGAAGTTCTTCGGTCTGATGGATAGTTTGGTTAGGAATTCTTGGTGTTTTCGTGACCCATTATTTATCAGCCGTATCAAATATCTGATAATTTGTTTGTTCTCTTGAGGTTCACGCCTTTACTTTTCGATAAACTATAAATTGTCTGTCGCTTTTGTCCTGCTTACTGGATGCTCTGGGAGGATTTCAACAGGAAGCTCACGCCTCCCGAAATTGAGCCACTGACGGCCACACGGCTCAGTCGCGGTAAAGACTCCAAGCACCGAAACTACCCAAGACTCCGTGTACTGTTTGCCAGCACTGCCGACGTAGAAAATGTTCTGCTTGCTAATCATCAGCCGAACTCAGATGGCGATGTGAAAATACTACTTGGCATACCATATTCTGAAGACACTCATCGGGAACATCTCCAGGGAACCTCACAAGCCGTTGTAATGCAGAATAGATATCATCGTGCAAAGTGTTTGGGGGAAAAAGGAACTCGACTACGCAGACTCTGATATTCTGGAGTGGAAATTCCTCAAGGACATCTTGAGGCTTAAGATCATATTGACTCAGCAAATGTTGTTAACAATCAAGGAGGACCAGTATTTTAGACCAGGACTAATGAGGATAACCTTCACATCTCCCCAGGCCTCAACTCTCATTTCATGCCAACAGAAGGTTGCCAACTGGAGTCCTCATGCATCCGGATAGTTCACGTGATACCAGGATCGGACACAAAAGCAAACTGGATCTGACTATTACGCTTGTGGACTGTCAAAATCATGAGAAAAACGAAGGGATAGGGGTTCCCAACACAGAAATCCCTGTATAGGTAGGTTGCAATTCATCCACATAAGGCTCATTCAGACAACAAAACGAGAAGATCTAAGATATTCAAATTGGAAGTATGAACCGCTTGTATATGAACAGTACAGGATTACCGAATAAAACGAATGTGTTGTGTGAACTATTTAATGTTAATAATATTCATCTGAGAGGAACATCTGAAACATGGGTCTCTTCTAAAATTACGAACCAGAAGCTAGTAATATACGGCTTGACTTTGTTTCACAACAACAGGAAAACAGGAATGAGTGCGAACTGCCTCTGTGTCTGCAGTCTTGCTTGGTAGCACATCTAGTGTACACTAGAGAGTTTATCAGCCATGATAAATCTGTATAACACTCAATAAGGTTGTCTAACACCTCAAGGTGTCTAGTTGGAATTACCTGCAGGAGTTATACTGCTGACACCGAGTTTGAAAATCGTATGCTGCAAAGATAACCCTGCTCTACTCGTCTCGGATACACTCATATCCTGATTCTAGGAGACTTTAATCTTTTTGATGGAGTTTTGTTTTCTGAGCTGTATAGTGTTGTAACGGGTGACTGCAGGTTATGATAAGCAGCGTATTTATCGACCGCTTCTGTGACAGTGACACGTAAATACGCAAAGACGACCTAGTGCCCTGATTGGCCCTGCTTCGCTGTCTGTCCTAGCCAGTTGAGTCAAGAACACAAGTCACAGCCTCTGAGTTATGAATCATTGTATTTCAGACATACTTTATTTATATACCAAACAAACAAACCACATCGTACCATAAAATAGAAAACAACATTTACATAATATTTAACAAGTGAAATAAACATTGACCAATAGGGAATGTACATTTAAGGTCCAAGGCCACCATAGACTTAAACGATCATTATTGGTATATTTTTCCGACTATCCTAACGTATAGTTTGGTCGTGGAGCTTTCATCGTTCTTCCAAACAAACTTCAGGTAAAAGTGAAGTCACAATGAATGCTTCACGACCGAACCATCCAGCTCAGAAAACAAAACTCTATCAAGACCATCTACCTGAGGTCGTTCATAAATTCCAGTCTCACCAGACAGATTTAGGTGCTGAATAAAGCTAATCAATAAACTTGTCTCCAATCCACAAGGCTTATTCCGTCACACAGCCTCTTCTCGATAGGCCAAAACAGGCGTTTCCAATTCGCTAGGTTTAAATGTCCTAACCAACGGCAGTAACGTTGCCGACCTACCGGGTGAGCAGTACTCTCGGACATTTCAACCGACACACACAAACTATAGTGATGAAAGCTTGACTTGTAACTGCACTGGACTCTTAAAAGTGAACCTGAGCGTTGGCTTGGTGTATCGGAAACTACAGCACTAAAACAACGACACTTCTATCGGCCCGGATATGGAGGGAGGCAGGGAGGGAAACAGCTTCAATCTCGAAAACACCGTTTAGTGTGATGTTCTCACATCCGTTAGAATGTGGCACATTTTCTGGCACATTGCCAGAAAATTGGAGTCTGGCTCTCATCACACCAATATTTAAAGGATGTTGACACAGTGAACCTTCATACTACATGCCGGCAGCGCGTCTCTCACTAACCCCAAATATTATAGGGTCCCTGATATGCGACTGTCTACGAGACTACTCGCTATCCAAAAAGTTCATTTCTCTCCGGTTTCAGAGAAGACCGCTCTTTCATAACCAACCCGCTGACCGCGGTGGACAGATGGATTACCATCCATGAACGCAAGGGGAAGTTTGCCGACATAAACATTTCCCTACCAAAGCTTTTAATGGGGTCAATCACATATCTCTTATCAATAATCCCAAACGATTAGGTGTAAAATCACCATCGATTGGTGGACCTACTTCCCATCTAAATAAGAGAACTTTTAAGGTCAGGTTTAATCTAATCTTCTGTCAGGCTATAAAATAGACTAATGGGGGTCCCCGGAGTTTATTTCCACCACCCCTTCCTTTTTTAATGTATTTAAACAAATTTCCACAACAGGAATTATCTGGTTCATTACTTTTTGTTAATGATATGAATCTCTGGAAGGAAGTTTGCAACCAAAATGATAAACCGGCACTTCAGAGGGATCTGACTCGACTTACGAGTTCAAGGGGCAACAACAGGTTTACTTTCAGCATTTCAAATTTTAAAGTTGTCCATCCTAGACATGTTGCAGTCTATGAATACAACTTAGGTGATTCGCCTCTAAAGAAATCTCAAGTTGAAAAAGGATCTGAGAGTGTTGGTGCCCTATGATCTGATGTCTTACGCTAACTGCGGCAAAAATACCTCTCGAGAAAACCTTTTACTGATACCGTTGTGGTGCATTTTTGGCCAGTTTGGAAGAATGTTCCACTTAATCTTTGACAGTCTTGTTCTAACTCATTTTGAATATGGAAATATAATGTTTACTCATTCACTCCAAAAGTGTTTTAAAAGGGAGCCATGGAATCAGTTTGAAGACTCAGATACAAGCCTTATGAAGAGCGACTCCAGTCACTGAACCCTTACCTATCGAAATACAGACGTCTTAGAGTTGACCTTCAAATGACTTACTGAATCCCAAAGACATCTAGGCATTCCTTTAAGCACTAAAGCTGCCACAAGTACTCGGAGTTTGACGTCTTAACCAGTAATACCTATAATCGTAATGTACCAAGTCAATGAAATCAGAGGTCAGAAGCGAAAATATTCAAAGGTATATGTGATAGACCATCGACACTTCGGAAAATGATTATTCTAACCTTACTAGCGGTTGTTGGAGATGCATAGCACAGTGTACCCACTCGTAACCTGGTGCGTATGCGTGACCGGTCACCTTCAGCTAGATGAGTCCACATAAACTAATACTGTCAGCCTCAAATGTCGGAGACTTACAGAATTACTGTTTTCGTGCATTTATTTGTCGCTACGGCACCTACGTAAGCTTAGCCTCAACACAAGCCTTAGGGGTAACACCTTGAAACTGGAGAAACAACAAAGCAAAATGGACTGTAGGCATACCTTCTACTTTTTACGAGTAGTTGAATTCTGGATTTCGCCAACGGCTGATTTAGTACAGGTGACTACCTAGGAGTCATTTGACAGACAACGTGATATATTCAAAGGGACTAAGGACAGTATCACGTTATAATCTACTAATTTCGTTCTCTTTTATCGTATAATATATCTGGGTTCTCACATCGAAGCATTAGAGATCCAATAGTACTAGATACGATGGCCCGTTAAGCGAAAGATTCTTCTATTCTGTCCAGAAACATTTGAAACCACTTCGAGTTCACAAGAGAATGTCAGCCACCTACTAAGACGAATAAAGGTATTAGTACAAATATACTCGATCATAAACAAGAATATAAACCATTGTATGAAGTTTTCTCATTTCCGCTGTTGAACAATGAGTTGTTAGTATGCATCATTTATCTGATTAGTTGTTTGGATTATATACCGAGGAAGGTTAAAATGCCAGTCCGGAAAGGTAGTGTTATTAAGATTTGTTTGTTTCTCATTTATGCCTCAGATTGTAGTCGTGCTCTTCATATCTTAACGAAATACAGACGTCAGTTAGATGAAAAAACCGACAGGTCCTTTCGAAACGCTGTTGATAAATTAATAAACACATTGGAAAGTCAATTATTTTCATCACTAATGGGTAAACTTTCCTTATTCTGAATGTTTTTGCTAGATGTTCTGGAGGTTTACGAAGTTACTTTAACAGGAAACAATAAAGAGTTTACGAGTGAACAAGCATCAGATTCAGTTGTGAGTATATGTAACCCTGTTTATGTACCGTATTGATATAGGGAAGAAACTTTGGATTAACGTTTGGTTTAAAGCACGTTATTACGTGATCTTAACATTTTTTATAATAGTGCTTTTTTAGTTTGAGCCTTGTCAAATATTTCGTGTCATATATATATATATATATATATATATGTATATATATATATATATATATATAAGCTCCTGTCTTATCAAAATGCAGGAGACGAAGTATGATCTGGGGTTTCAGGTAGAATGCATTCAGTAAAGTTGGCGTTGTTTTCCCTATACCCGGGTATAGAGCCACTGCGTTTTAGATGAAAAACTTCCTTATTTCGATTAATTAAACGCTTATAACTTTGAATAGTTTTATTTTCACCCACAACTATCAATACTTGGCAAAGTATAGTATTCTCTACACCATGTTCCTACTTCCTGGCATCAGGATGGCAAACGATCATTCTCCTTATTGTTAATTCCAAAACTAGTGTTCGTCTTTCAGGTGATTTACTTTGTGCCTGTCTACTTTGTATCCGCTGGACGGTTCTGTAACTAAATGGCGTAAAAGTGAGAATACAAGAAAACTTACAATCTTTATTTGTGGTTTAGAGACTTGAGTTAGGTAAAATCCAGTGTATTCGTGTAATATGAAATGCGAATTAACCTTATTTGTTACTGTATCTTGAGGGATTTTGAAACAGACTCTGGAATTCATAAACAAATTCTAGGAAGTTTACACCATTTATAAAACAAACGTTGGGTGTATCCTTGTTGCACCTTATCTGTAAGCAAGTCTAGTTTACGTCTATGTAAATGAACTTACATATAGTATGTTGAGAACCTTACTCATCATAAAAAGCGTGTTGACGTCATTTGTTTGTGTACAACGATTCACGAACTAAGAATAGAGATAACCGTCACACTTCTGTTGGTCTCTTACTGCAATTTTCAGATAACATCAGCTAGGTGACGGAGTATTCAGTTCAAATATTGTAAATGAATGCGATCCTTAATACCTTAACATTATGTTCATATGGTTGTAGGACTATGTATGTTATATGACTAGGGTATTTGTTTAAACATATTGGAAATAACAGAGGTTTAGAAACGAGTCCTTAAAAACTCAACAGTTGTTTTCAAAAGATAGCTTGAAATCACCTCAATACGTTGAATTTCCTGCAATATAGGAAATACCTGATTTGTGAAAGCAGATTTCCTCAAGTCTAGACGTATCTTAGCATAGATAATAGATTGATTCAAACGATGCACCATGAATATATTTTTTAATTTAGGGATAAATGTAAGATCTTTGAAATCCTCCTAAAGTTTCATATATCCACCCCTATAGAAAATTTAGACTAAACTTAAAGCCTGTACATCAGTGACGAAAATATAAGTGTTTCTTTCTCTATAATAGATCATTTCGACTCCAAGCGTTAACTTTAATTTCATCTTTAATAAGTTCCCAAGTTTAAAGCACTTTATTGTTATTTTTGTTCAAAAAAGTTGACTTTTTGCATTTTTTTGGCTAAATAAAAATGTATCTTAAGTGATTTAATTTGTTGCCCGTTATAAATGCTCTATCTAAATCAATCCTTTTTAATCTTAACTTTAGTCAATCCATAAACAAATGTGGCGAAAGTTTTAATAATTATCTGCTAAGGCATATTTTAGCTTTGATGTTATTTATTCTTTGGTAAAATTATGATTTTACAATTAATAGTTGAAACATGAGCTCACTGTATGCTTTAACACGAATAAGTAAACACGCCTGTGAAGGATAGACAGATTTCCTCAAGTTTCGACTTTTAACACAGGATGGTTTGTTAATATTACCGTATTCGTTCTCATTAACAAAAGCCTGGATGTGGAGAAAGTTAAACATAAAAATGGCAAGGAAAAGTGTTTTTCTTAGCTTTTGGCCCACATTTATAAAAAATAATTGATTTGGAATTCCCATTAGCAATCGTCAGAATATTAATCAAGTTGTAGGAAATCTATAGACCACATATAAAAACCTTAGTAACATACGATCTTTTCTAAAATACTCATCTTTAGTGAATAGAAGTCTGCCTATTTTATTAAAGCCTGACCTTCATTTAATTTAAGTAGTTTAACGCATGAATTTCAAATAAATGTATATAAGAACTGTTATTTTTCGATTAACAGTGAACTACCAAGATGGTTCTATCCTAAGAAAAATCAGTAATTGACGGTGTTTGTGTCTACCTGTTACTTGATTATTACTACTAACAATGTTCTTAACTTCATATCTTGTTTTCCAGAATTTTTATCACAGTGGATCAAATATTTCTTCTGGTAATCAGTCACTGCCAAAGCCTCTGAGCCCTGGTAGGTTAGTGGAGTTAGAGACAGATTAAAAACATTTTTCAAAAACTTATACAATTTGTCTCACAAATAAATAATTTAAATTCGTAGTAACTGGTATGGTAAACTGCACTTATAAGAACCCTTTTAGCATATGAATCTTTTGAAAGTGTCATATATGCCACAATTCAGAGGTTTCTAGATGTTCAGGTCAAATTTACTAATTTATAGTGTAAAAAGTGGAATGTTCTCTTAAATTTTCACGTTTACGAAAGTGCTTAGAAAATAAATTGAGGATTATGATTAGATAACCAAAGGATGATATCACTGCATAACAGTTAGAAGGCAAAAGACAAGTTATACTAACTGAACATTAGCTACGATCTTATTGTACACCGCTCACTACTGGACATAAACGCTTGATTAAGTTTGTGAAGTTGACCTCCCTTCAAAACCAAAACTTCTATTCAGTAACTGATGCTTTTCATATATCTGTTTCACGGGCAAGTTGAAAAGTAACTTTTTCCTTAAAAAGTTTTCATCCTTATTCGCAGTCGTTTTTACATATGACTACCATTGAAGTAACTGCTTCTATAAATTTGGTCTTCACCTTGTTATGCTAATGAGGTATAGCAATTTGGACCGATGCATATATGTGCCTGGTCCTACGTTGTAGATGACTGACTGACAAAAAAGCTTCTAGTATTCTTTTACTTCTGAGTTTGTTGTGTCCTATTGCTGCTTAAACAACGTAGAAATAATTTAGATGGTTTCACTGCTGTCCTTTATATAAAAATTCTTTTCGTCTTTAAAGTTCAACTTTAAGTGCATAAATATCTCTATATTCGCACCAATTAAACAGTGAATTAAAATGTATTAATTTTGCTTAGTTCTGCAGTTAAAAGTTTCAATCAATAAAACTATTCATCACGTGTTTGATGAAACAATATGAGATTTATATCAAGTGGCTGATAAACCCTGCTACCTAAAAGCATTTACTACTGAATCTACCGTCTGATCGGTAAAATCCTTACGGATTGTTACTAAACTAAACAGATATTTGTTCTATAGTACTGAACAATAAAAATCGATACTTGATTGTCTGTCCCACGTTGTTTGTTATCTTAAAGATAACTGGTAATAATATCGCACAGTATCGATCATATGACCTAAGACATTCTTGATACTTAACTTATAGCATTCAAATGTGATATGAAACATTGGATTTCTCGACAAAGTTTAGGATTAGAATTAATTACTTTTACAAGAGCTGTATCAAGAATTATTCGATTTTATTAACGACACTCATGTATTTGGTAATATATCAGAATGAGTTACCTTTTCTACAGCTTAACTTCGAAAATTAGGCCTAATTCATTCTAATACATTTGGACGTAGAAAATTTCAATTTCTTAGTATTTTATTATTATTATTTGAACACATAAATATTGGTACAAGAGGGCACCAAATATATATGCGCCATACAAAACAATGAGAATTCGAAGAAAAAAAGGCAAGGAGCGTAAAAAAGAACAATAACGAACAGATTAATGTGAGGTAGTGTAATAATAATAGTAATAATGAGAGAAACGGAAAAGTACAACAAAAAGAAATCTTTCAGTTAATGACGTTACATCCACTTTTTATGAAGAAAGTGAAAGAAAATTCCAGCAGAATCGCCACTGGCTCCTATTCTGAGCCATATCTGATAACGTCTCTAGCCACTGTGTCGCATCATCTCTCGGACCCCAACCAGGGAGAAAGTATCAACTGTGAATTCCATCGTATTGAACAAAATAATCGTCGTATTTGACCATGTATTTACGGTCTCCGTTTATTTGTGAAACATAATAATGCTTCAAAATTTATATCGTCACATAACTGTAATCTCGGACACGAATGTTATTGGTAAAGTGTGGAAATACTAAACATAAAGACTTTTACAAGGTATGGCCTTTGATTCAAAATGTAATCAGTACATATGTCAAGATGACGTCAAAATGTTTATTATTTATAAAATATAGTTAATGAACAGTAGTTCAGCAATGAAAATAATAGAATTTTTCTAATCTACCGCAACCATATTTCTTTCATCAATTGAATGAAAACTAAAAGGATTTTTCTTGTAAAGTGAAATCAATCCACATCCCAGAAACCTTCGTGTTCTATCTTTATTTGAAACTTACCTTTATATTGCTTCTCAATTCAAAGTAAGATTTAAGTTATCAAAGTCTACTGATCTCACTTAATATCGAAATATCGAAACCAATATCATTGCACACAAGTTGTTCATGTTAATCCTTGAAAATCTCTTTTACTTGTTACGAATTAATTTCAAGCTTCAGTTCATAATATTAATTAATATTTTTTACTAAAAATATATACATCTTATCATCATATAAATAGCATGTAACAGATGTACATTGGATTCAGTATTATATTGTTGGAGATAATCTTCAATGAAATCAGGAATCAAATTTCTAGGTGCACTGATAACTACCAGAGTGCAGTAGATTTTTATACCTGAATAAACCCATACTTTTTTACATATCCATTTATATCCTTAAACTTTGCTCAAGCACTTCAACCGTTTTATTTCTGATTAAAGTTTTAGAGATAGATTCACTCCCACTTAATTATGAAAATACTTTGCTATTGTATATCAATAAGAATAAAACTATGTTAAGGAGTTTCTTGATGATCTTTTTTGGTTATCATATACTACGCAATATTGTACTTGTCTTTTTTTAACATTTCATCCTAACGACCAACAAGCCACGTAAATATTTGTAAGGAAAAGTTCCAATTCTCTGTTATAATTAACTTTCAACTAAATTTTATTCAAACTATATCGAAATCAGAAAATAAACCATTTGTATTTCATTATTTGCTTAAGATGTGATGGATAATAAGATTTCGAAACATCATCGACTTGAAACAGTTGTTGAAAGTTTCGTAAAACTGACTTCTAGTAGACATTGAAGATGATTCTTGAACAAAATAAATGTGGAAATACAACTGAGCCCCTCAAAATTCTGATTGAATCAGCGCTTACGTCTAAACATATTCACATAAATAAACAATAATCGGATTTCGTTTTTCAGTAAAAACTTACTACTTACCATGTCATCTGTTAAATGTTGTAATATTCTCTTGACGTATAATTACATTGACCTATTTAAATAGTTGGTAAATAGAGCTAAAGAATAAACGTAACTAAGCATTTAAACGTAGTATTTAGGCCAAACGGTGTATACTTTTGATCATTTTCGGTGTCAACGTACATGGTGGCCTATCCATCGCTCAAAGGTATGAATCGCCGTAGTGATTTAGCACAGTGTATTGACCATATTACAAAGATTCCCGCTGTATCGTGGAACATATTGATGTTTCACTTGCCAAATGGTTACCACTGTGTAAATAATTCCAAAGTGTCTGGTCTGTGTATCCTCGTGAAAACTGTACTTTTTATGTGGTGAGAATCGATCTCTTACTTTTACTATGTATTCGTAGATCGTGTTTCAATGAAAGGGGAATGGGAATATCTGGATATTATACTTAAACGTGATTCGGCCGCAGTAGGTGGATTTGGTTTTAGTATTGCCGGAGGAATTGATAATCCTATTACCGACTTGGATCATGGGATTTATGTCACGAGAATAGCCCCCAATGGATGCGCGGATCGAGATGGTAAACTAAGGTAAAATAATTTTATTTTCCTTAAGTATTTTTTCTAGATTTATTAAGTTTTTTAGTGGCATGATAGTTTTGTCATAAGGTTTTGACTTAGTAAAAAGCAGTATAATTTTAAAAAATTCGACTCCTTTCTTTAAGAAATGTACACTATATGTTTCAGCTTTGTTCCGATAAATAACTTCTTGTATTCTTTACTACAAATGTAATAACAATTAATATGTTTTCCGGTGACTATCGATCGTAGTTACACTGCTCCGTTTTTTAATAAAAATAAGGGGAAAGAATACTGTAATTTTCCGAATATTAGCGCTCACATACAGTGGAGGACATAGGAATTCAACTAAATGAGCGAAATCGTTGCTTACAATAATTTTGTAATGTCCTTATTCTCATAACATCTAACCAACTTCAAGGTTATCCTTTTATTTTTATTACTGTGTGATTGTTTTCAATAATTGAAAAACTATTAATCCATACTCTGTGTTACACTTATTCATAGTTACTTTGATTGTAATTAATTTCAGAAAATTACTTACTTACTTATGCCTGTTAATCCCAATGGAGCATAGACAGACGACCAGCATTCTACAACCCACTCTGTCCTCAGCCTTCTTTTCTAATTCCATCCAATTCTTGTTCATTTTTCTCATGCTTATCACCGTTTCTCGGCGTAATGTGTTCTTCGGTCTTCCTCTTTTCCTTTGGCCTTCAGGATTCCATGTGAGGGCTTGTCTTGTGACGCATTTGGGTGCTTTCCTCAATGTGTGTCCTATCCACTTCCAGCGCTTCTTCTTGATCTCTTCCTCCACTGGGATTTAGTTTCTTCTCTCCCACAATAGTTTGTTGCTGATCGTGTCTGGCCAACGGATCCGAAGTATTTTGCGTAGACAGCTGTTAATAAACGCCTGTATGTTCTGGATGATGGCTTTCGTAGTTCTCCAGGTTTCCGCCCCAGTAGACAGTAGAACTGTCTTGACATTTGTATTGATATTTCTGACATTGGTGTTGGTTGACAGTTGCTTTGAGTTCCAGATGTTGTTCAGTTGTAAATATGCTGCTCTTGCTTTTCCGATCCGCGCTTTCACATCTGCATCAGATCCACCGTGTTCATCAATGATGCTGCCCAGATATGTAAAGATTTTACATCTTCAAATCTTCTCCGTCAATTGTGATTGGATTAGTGCATTCTGTGATGTATCGGAGAATCCTGCTTTTCCCTTTGTGTATATTGAGACCTAGTGCTGCTGAGGCTGCTGCCACACTGTTCGTCTTCTCCTGCATTTGTTGTTGCGTTTGGGATAGAAGGGCCAGATCATCTGCGAAGTCTAGATCATCCAACTGCATCCTAGATATCCACTGTATCCCGTGCTTCCCTTCTAATGTTGACGTCTTCATGATCCAGTCGATCACCAGGAGAAAGAGAAAGGGTGAGAGTAAGCAACCTTGTCTGACACCGGTCTTCACTTCGAACGACTTTGTCAACTGTCCTCCATGCACGATTTTGCAGTGTAATCCATCATATGAACTCTGTATGATATTGACTATCTTCTGAGGCACGCCGTAGTGTCGAAGAAGTTTCCATAGTGTTGTTCTGTCCATGCTGTCAAATGCTTTCTCGTAGTCAATGAAGTTGATGTAGAGTGATGAATTCCATTCAATTGATTGTTCCACAATGATCCGTAGTGTTACGATTTGGTCTGTACACGAACTATCCTTACGGAATCCAGCCTGTTGGTCTCGAAGTTGGGCGTCTACGAAATCCTTCATCCTGTTTGACAATACCCTGTTGAAGACTTTTCCCGGTATTAAGAGGAGAGTGATGCCCCTGTAGTTATCGCAGTTGGTGAGATCGCCTTTCTTCGGTATTTTGATCAGAAGTCCTTCTTTCCAGTCTGTTGGTACTTGTTGCTCATCCCAAATCTTATTGAAGAGAACGTAGAGTATCCTTGCAGTTACCGCTACGTCTGCTTTTAGTGCTTCTGCTGGAATGTTATCTGGTCCTGCTGCTTTGCCACTCTTGATTTGTCTGATGGCCATGCTGATTTCTCCAATTGTTGGTGTGCCAACATCGATTGGGAGGTCGGTGGGTGCTGCTTCGATGTTGGGTGGGTTCAGTGGAGCTGGTCGATTCAAGAGTTCATTGAAGTGTTCTACCCACCTGTTTTGTTGCTCTTCAATGTTGGTGATTACCTCACCTTCCTTACTTTTCACTGGTCGTTCTGGTTTGCGGCGATTTCCAGAGAGTTTCTTTGTCGTGTCATTCAGTTCTCTCATGCTTCCTTCTCTTGCAGCCTTTTTCGCCGTCGTTGCTAAATCTTCCACAAATTTACATTTGTCGATTCTGATGCTCCTCTTCACTTGTTTGTTTACTTCTGTGTATTCAGCTTGTGCCTTGGCTTTTTCTGCTCTTGTTCGACTGGTATTGATTGCTGCTTTCTTGTTCCTCCTTTCTTGAATCTTATCCAGTGTATCAACAGTGATCCATTCCTTGTGATTGTGCTTCTTGTGGCCCAGGACCTCATGACATGTCGAAGTGATTGCCTCTTTGATCCCCTTCCAGTTGCTATCCACAGTAGTTCCTTCTCCATTGAGTAGATCATGAAAGGCCTGGAACTTGTTGCTGAGAACTATCTTGAATTTGTTGAGTCTGTCAGTATGCTGAAGAAAGGCCGTATTGACCTTCTGTGATATTGTCCGCCCCGTTGTTCAGTACTTATTGAGTTTCAATTTCTTCCTGACGACCAACTAGGGATGATCTGATGCTATATCAGCTCCTCTCTTGATTCTCACGTCCTCTACAGTCCTCGTAAACGTTTTGTTGATGCAGATATGGTCGATTTGGTTTTGTGTAGTGTGATCCGGTGAGGTCCATGTGGTTTTGTGTATGCGTTTATGTGGGAATATGGTGCCGCCTATGACCAGTTTATTGAAGGCACATAGGTTTGCAAATATTTCACCATTTTCGTTCCTTTCTCCCAGTCCGTGTCATCCGATGATGTCTTCATATCCGGTGTTGTCCATTCCAACCTTGGCGTTGAGGTCTCCCATCAGAATGGTCAGATCCTTTGTTGGGCACTTCTCGATGATTGACTGCAGCCTATTGTAGAATTGATCTTTAGTGTCTTCATTGTAGTCGTTGGTAAGCGGATAGCATTGGATGGCGTTCATTGTAATGCTCTCTTTCTTTGTTTTGAAAGAGGCTTTGATGATCCTTGGTCCATGAGATTCCCATCCTATAAATGCATTTTGTGCTTGTTTGGACAGCACCAATGCAACTCCTTGTGTATGTGGGGCATTTAGTTTTTATTCTTATATAATCAGTACAGGTAATTTACTGATTAGGACGTACCATAGAGTTCAGTAAAGGTCATCAACACTTATTGGATAAAAAAAATCAACTTCTTATTTGTCGTAATATTTAGAATAATCTTAATATAATTTTCGTTCAATGGAGAATCCTGGTGGGCAGCTTATGCTCCTCCACGAAGATAAAACAGGCGTAAATAAGTGATGAAATTTTTGTACAGGTTTAGCGAATACTAAAGAATATGATAATATAATTCTTAATGCCGCATAAATTACTTTTAAAATTTGTTAAGACCACTCATTTCTCAATAAATTCTGTGGAAACTTCTTAAATCAAATGTCTACTTCCCTTGTTCGGGACTTTATCGTAGTGAACAAGGGTGGAAAATGTATGTTCTGCAGTTTTTGAAAATTCTTTCCTGTATATATTAACATCAGCATAAGTAACCAAAGGCTTTATTATATGACTGGATACTTCTGAGTTTGTGATACTGCAGTGATAGAATTTGTTCTAGGATTCGAATTCATCAAATAAATCAGACGTAAAGCTTACAAAACCGGAAGGCGAAAGTTATCTGAAAGTCCCATACTATAATCAGAAATCAACGTTAAAACTATAAATTCGGCAAAATCCAATAGTGAGGCGTCTAAGTACCAATTATCCCATTTAAAGTACAGCTATAGAGAAGAAGCGTGCTACACACTGATGAACAAGAATAAATTTACATGTATTGAAATCAAAAATCAACGCCAGGCAATACTTTAACAGAAAAACACCAGTTACTAACAAAAATAAACTAAAACTTATTACAATCCTATCACAAAAAAGACGTTGGAAGTGGATGGGACACATTGAGGAAATCACCAGGTAAGCGCTAACTTGGAATCCTGAAGGGAAACGGAAAAGAGGAAGACCAAAGAACACACTGCACCGAGAATTGGGAGCAGATATGAAAAGGATGAATAGTAACCGGAAGGGATTACCCAGGAGAGCGTTGGAGGGAGATTGCTGGTGGATTGTCTATGCTCCTCCACGAGAGGCAGCAGGCGTAAGCTAGTATCACAAAAATTAGTAAATCGTCAAAAATATGTTAAGTTCTCAAGAGTAATGTGATAATAGAAAATCTAGAATATGAAAGAAGGGGTGAAAATTTCGATACTGGTACATGATTCAACTAAGTCATTGAAATAAGAGCAAAAATGGCTAGGATTAATATTGTGTAACGACAAATGAATATGTATATAAATAAATATACTCGAACTACTGATGAAGTATACGTAGTATAGTGTGGTACAAAAAGGCGGATGAATAAACAGTGAACTCAAACAGCAATTTACAGATTTAATAAGTTGTCGTGATCATGTAGGGTACTTTTACTTGACTAATACTAAACCTTAAAATAAACCTTGAGTCATTTTTCACGCGCTGGTTTTTTTTAAAGGGTTGATGATCAAATCCTTAGTGTCAATGACATCAGTTTAGAGCATGTTACAAATATGGAAGCAGTGAAAACACTAAGACAAGCTGGTAATCAACTACATTTAGTAAGTTTTCCTTGATTAAGTCTAACATTTTCTAACTATATTTTCAATTGTATTAAAAATAAAGGGAAAAACAAGTACAAATATATAAGATGAAAAACGTTTAATTTATACAGGTTCTAATATGTTCCACCTAAGGCGTTTTTTCCATGCTTTTAAGTAGTATATTTCTTAAATCCACGAAATACTGAATCTCTTTAATCAATAAGTGACCAGCTAGTTCTAGCTTTATTAGATGTGCTAGTTCTTCCATCAGTTTTATCCGGTGAAAATAATTTTTTGGTCTGTATTTGTTCATTTTCAATGATCTATTTTTGTAATTGTTTGCAATTCACTCTACACTTACCCCACACCAATTCATAAGGTTATTAAGGGTATCGGATGAATCCTCGGCTGTAGCTGCTACCTTGACGTGTTGGTCGGATTTGCCTATTGTAGTGGTTCAGCCGAGCTATATTGGTTGAAGCACATGTTTGTTTAGGTTTTACCTTGCCAGGCAGTCGATTGGAGAACAATGAGACTAAAAGTTGCAATTTAATGTCTGAGGGCAAAGTCGTACTGCTGACTGTAAGGGAGTGTGACGAAATTATGGTGTATTCCTCTGACAACCATTCTTGCTGCCTTCTCACAAAGGAAGAATAGCGTTAGAAAATATCATCCCTAAATCGCCACACTTCACCTTACCCCATAGACTTCAGTCTCCGACCATAAGGCCTTTTGACGTTCGGCATTAGCAAATCAAACACTTCCCATAAAATTGCCGTAAGTGATAGGCCACAGGCAGTTTCCCTCTGAGCTCTGCAATCACGCTCCCAGGTCACTAAAACTACCAATAGTGCAGTTCCCTCTTTAGGTCTCTAGAGAAATACCCTTCCATGATATGAGGAGCCTGAAAAGAACAACTGTTTAGTGGCCCGGAATCTGACTCCTGTGAGATCGTTTCTGATTGCTATTGAGATATACATATCGTCAATCCTCGTATATGATCATCGACTTCAATCGCGTTAGTCAATAACGGAATTGAATAAGTCAAATACGAAAATGGATTTCTGAATGGGTATATTTTGTACACTCACTGACCTAGAAAATAGCATATATGAGTGTGTAAGCATATGAATAAATTATCATTATAAAATAATGAATAGGCCATGTATAAATCACTCTAAACATAAAGTGTCGGTAAATGAAGCAACTTTTACGCTATCTCAAAATAGTAATAATTTCCCAGAAACAAGGAAATAATATTTGTGATTGGGTTATTTCTGAAGTAGTAATTCTTAATACGAAAGAGTTGTTTAGTTTTGCATTGAAAAGGGTGACATAAATTTAATATATAGCTTCTGATCGCTATAGAAATGAGAATGTCTCACCTCATGATGGCAGTACGTAGCTCTTTCGTAAGTTCGAATGATGCTCTTTAACGCTTCAAGTGATTGGAACGCTACGAGATACAATGTATTGAAGAATACGTTATCCGTTTATGTGACAACGTAAGAAACGACAGAGCTGTACTTTGTACGTTACTATTGTCCATAATTTGAAGAAAAAGTGCTCTGTCGTCAAGTTCTGAAATTTTATATCAATTTTGTGAAATAAATGACCAATTATAACGAACTTAAAACTAGCCATTTAATTGGACGAAACGGAATGAAAAATATTGGTAAATGGGATGAAAACTTTTTCAAAAGGGATGAAAAATTTTTCAAAAGGGATGAAAAAATTTATTTAAAAAATACAAAAATAGCCGTGCGTTTAATGATATCCCACATGAGGGGTAAGTGTGTTATTTAAAAGTGTCATACTTATGTAAAAGAATACATGAATATCGTAAAGGCGCGGAAACCACACTTTTACTACCCGTGACTTCATTGGTGTAAGTGTAGCACAAAGTTCAAAAGCAGAACTGACACTGCTTGACTGGATTGAAATAGACAGTTGATTGTGAACTGTCCGACAAAATGAAGCGGTAAGAACTCAAAAAGATAGGAACATACGCTGTCGTCTCTGCCTACGTTCCCACTGGTTGCAGCTTGGATGAATTAAAAGACCAATTTTATAGAAAGATGTCTAACCTTTTAAAAAAACTAGACACTCCGATGTAGCAATAGTGGCGGGTAATTTCAGTGCTCCAGTAGGCATACTAAGCCGAACCGAAAGACAATTAGGCAGATCCTACGATGTTGCGGTTTAGCAAACAGATAATGACAGCCGTCTGTTACAACTATGCCCATGCCACCGTCTATTTCTGAGCAACGCAAACTCTAAACATAAAGAGAAATACCTTCTGACATAGCGAACTTCACGATCAACTCAACGGTGAACTCAAATAGACTTCATTGCCACAGCCATCAATTTAAATCTCCATAGGATACTGTCGATCATTCTGAAACATTATTGGACTTGGATCATGCTCTGGTTCAAACACGTATTTGTCTGCATCTTGCTGGATGTAGAAAAGCCACATCAAGAAAACCTCTTATAGTCCAACTTAATCATGAAAAAGTCAAGAAAATGTTTCAGAAACAAGTAAAGAAAGAGCTAGTCAACTGTGGAAATGATATTCACCCCGAGGTAGCTTGGTATGTTACCCAAGAAGCTGTGGAAACAAAAATTATATCTACTAGTAACTAGAAAGAGAAGATTAGGAAAACAGTGTATTTTAGTGACATCTACATAACTGATAAAAACTCAGAAATTAATCCTGTCTGGCTCAGAACACGGTGAGGAGAGGAGACGGCCTAAATGTATGTTGATCAAAAGCCTATGTAATGATCGTTGGGAGTGGTGTGTAGCGATGGCAGAAGCGGAAGAAAAGACACACGAGATAGGTTTCGATAAACATCTGTTCAGAATTATCAAGGAAACGAGTATTAACAACTTGGCTGTCAGTGAAACTAACTTGGAAAAAGGTGGCACTATTATTCAGTTTGAATCCAGGAGACTGAACTGATGGGCCGAACAGTTTAAAGGACAATGCAACTGGCCTTCAGCTACTCAAGATCTCCAAGCCACTTAAATGGCAAACTGATGTCAGTCCTACAACTATTAGCGAGGTCGAAAAGACTATAAGTGATCTAAAGCGATGGAGAGCAGCAGGGCTTAATGGACTAACCCTTGAGAATTTAAAGGATGGCAACCCAGTTTTGGTAGCTAGATTAATTGAAACCTTAGTTAAAATCTGGGAACTGAACGTAATTCCATCTGACTGGTCTCGATCACTTCGTACAAGTGTATAAGAAAGGACAGAGATCCTCTCACGATAATCACGGAGATATCAGTTTTGCCAACATAGTATCTAAAATGTTAGTCTAATAATTCGATGTCTAACTAGAGCTCGTGAAGAGCAAACCTGAGTAAACTAGGCTTGTTTTAGACATGGACGTGGATCTATAGATAAAATATTCACCCTTCGGTAGATTTTGGAACATAGAGCTACTTTACAACGTCCGAACTATGATTGTGTTATGCCAAAACAAGAATAATGAGTGGTAATTTTCGGGATACATTTGTAAACCAATACTACACGTATATTTTTATCGTATAGTTGTTAATTAACTAAACTATTCGTATTCATGTCTCTCTTATCATAAGCTTAATTTTAACCTATAAACTGTTATTATACGATTTTCCATTCTTGAATTATCCCCTGTCTATTAGTCGCTGCCTCCCTCATTCATAGCCACATCTGGCTAATTCTTGTACAAATGTTGTTTCATATTTTATTGGTACGTTGTGGACTGTTTGATTGGTATATAAACTCAGTATGTTTGAAATATAATGATTCATATTGCAGAGGCTGAGACTGGTGTTCTGGACTTAACTGGCTGAGCTAGGCGAAAAGCAGGACCAATCAGAACTCTAGGCTGCTCGCACCTGTTTTATGCGTCCTTGGTCCGACCGATAATTCGCTGCTTCTGATTGGCGACTTTGGGCTATAACAGATTGTATTCCTTAACTCTAAGGCGTTGTTCGACTCCGTTGATTGTAAGGTTCTGCGGCAATGTCTGTTGTTGAAAGGCGTACCGAATAAGTATATTAAACTTGTACAGGCTCTCTACTGGAACACTGCTGGTCGAATCAGAACTAATGACAAATTGTCATCGGAATCGGTTACTTCAAGTGGTGTTCGTCAGGGTTGTCCTCTTTCTTCATTTTGGTTAAAGCTTTTCACAGACATCCCTTTAGAGGTAAAATTCTCAGCGTTTGACTCTTCAGAGTTTGATCTGCCAGAAGGTTAACTTGTTAACTTAGAATACCTAGATGACATAATTCTGTTTGGTGAGGGTGTTAACAAAATTAAGTCATCTGACCACCTTGAAAAACAATTCAAGCATGACTGAGATGTGGTTCTCTCCCTTCAAATGCAAAATGTTGTTTCAGTATTGGATTGAGTCAGCTCCTGAATTTGTAATAGAAAGCGAAGCGATCGTGTTCACTGACCGCTTCATTTATCTTAGGAGTCTCATTAGTCCTTGTAGATCTGGGTCTGATGAAATCTTGTCACCAGTTCAGAGAGCCCGATTGGTGTTTGCCAACTCGTGTCACTTGTGGCATATATTTAATATCCGTCTGTCAAGAAAAGGGTTTAGAGACTGTTTAACGATGCACTATGCATTACTCGTGTATTTTGGGACCAACGATCAGGAAGTGTTTGGGTTCGAAAATGGAGACTGAGTAAATGTTATAACGTGAAAATAATGCTGATTAAGGGATAGCGGATTATTGATCGGACCAAAGACGCACAAACACGTAGAACGACCTAGGGTTCTGATTGGTCTCGCTTCCCTGTCTAACCCAGCCAGTTGAGTCCAGAACGAAGTCACAGCCTCGGATATATGAATCATTATATTTCAAACATACTCTATTTATATACCAAGCAAACAAACCACATCGTACCACAAAGTAGAAAATAACATTGTACAATATTGGCCAACAGGAAAATGACACGTTAAATAAATATCGACCAATGGGAAATGTACATTTAAGGTCCAAGGACACCATTGGACTTAACATGATAATTTTTGGGATATTTTCCTGAATATCCCAACACCTCCCCTTTTTTGGAGATCTGGAGTTGATGTCCGGATTTTAAATTTTTCTCGCGTCTATCCTCCCCCTCGAAATAATGTTGGGTCTTCATAAACCCAAGGAACAGTTAGTGTGACTCTATTTGAAGCATATTTCCCGCGTTGAGTAGAGAGTCCACTAGGACTGACTAGATGGTGAGGATCAGCGACAGTAGATCTGAGGTCATTAGGGTTTAAATCTTTAGTAAGTAGTGGAGCATTATGATAATCGGCGTCCAACAAAACTGTACCAGGTTCTTGGTTATTATTTGATGCGTGGAACACATTTTCTGGTAAAAGAGAATCTTGATAATAAGATTTGTCAAAAACATCTGTCGCAGACTGATGAGAACCATTTGAAGCAGTTGTATTCAGTGTGCTGCTCGATTTGTTTTCTGTTTCATGGGTGGTTATTGCGACAATTCTATGACCATTAACCGGGGAGTGTGTTTGTGAGCTGGATAAGTCACCGTCTGCACATGCTGTTTTGGGGATAATGGAGTTTGAGTCCATTACCGGGCATGTTACTGAAATGGAAGGTTCTGGACCACTGGGCGCATCATGGATGACTGCCGTTCCGTTTGAAGTGCAGTTAATCGAGGATTCATGGAGGCTGCTGTCATTTTCCAGCTCACTGTGCAACTCAGATATCAATCCATCCACTTCCGTCGCATCTTCATAGCATGACTGACTTAGCAGCTGCGTGCGGAACTTGACTAATAACTCCAAATGTCGTTCATAGAGCAGCTGTAATCGATCGGAAGGGAGAGTCATTTTTTTAATCAGCGCCTGTGATGAAAATTACTGTATGACTAATGACCAATGTGGTTCAAGGACACTGATGACAATCTGGATACTGATTGGTTGAATAATTAGACTGGATTTCGTCCAATTACAGAATGACTGGATTGTATCTTTTCTTCACCCCGTCGCCAATTGTTATAACGTGAAAATAAATGCTCCTGGTTAAGGGATAGCGAATTATTGATCGGACCAAAGACGCACAAACACGTAGAACGACCTAGGGTTCTGATTGGTCTCGCTTCCCTGTATAGCCCAGCCAGTTAAGTCCAGAACGCAGTCACAGCCTCGGATATATGAATCATTATATTTCAAACATACTCTATTTATATACCAAGCAAACAAACCACATCGTACCACAAAGTAGAAAATAACATTGTACAATATTGGCCAACAGGAAAATAACACGTTAAATAAATATCGACCAATGGGAAATGTACATTTAAGGTCCAAGGACACCATTGGACTTAACATGATAATTTTTGGGATATTTTCCTGAATATCCCAACAGTAAAGAAGGAAAATCGATCGATGACATAGTCAATCTGGATTGACTGAAATTGTTATGACGTTCATTACGTATGCCTGATTACCACGTACCTGGATAAAAGTTATAGAGTTTAGTTGGAAAATATCTGTTAATGGTGGCCAAAATAAACTCACTAGTCCATAGAATTACTCTCTTTTGGACTCAGTCTTGCAAGTAGATGAAAACGTTGTGGTCGGGGTTGACGAATTAACGCAATTTCTCTCTGTGTTGATAAAATGTTGCAACTTGAACCGATGTACACACGTGCTAGGTTCTACGTTACGACTGATTGACTGATGTAATACACAGAAATGAATGATCACTTGTGATTTTATGTTTTCCACTTCTCATTAAACATTTTTTCACCTGATAATTCATACTGTCTTAGCTGATTATTGTGTATACAAATGACAGTTTCAACTCTGCAATTAAGTGGGTCTTTTTGTCAGGGTTTTGTATTATCGAAAACCTTTTCGTTTTGAATTGTTTAACCAACAGAATGATTGTAACCATGTGATCTTTTCTTAAAAATAGTCTAAGTATCCCAACATTACCGAAATTATTCTTTTAGAATTTTCATTACTAAGTAGTAAAATCTTTCTAAAATTTTATGTCAAGGTTGTAAGACGATTTGTTGGTAATACTGGAGTAACAACACCAGATAGAACAGTTGTACAACATTCTCCATCCTTTCGATCACCAGAAGTTATGTCTGATTTAGAAGACAGTGGTTCAACTCCAATATGGTACGAAGTAAGTTTCTCATAAACACAAATCTATATGAATCGATATTCTATTGTTTTATTGTCTTTACTTTTGGTTGGCTAATGCATTACTTAGTTCTAACTCAGTACGGAAAAGGAAGTCACTTAACCCAATCAGTTGAAAATTTAGTATGAATTTTGTTGGAAAGGTTTTTATCTTCGTAAGTTAAACCCTAATAAAGGGGAATTGAAGTTGGAAAGCTTTGAAAAGATTGTTATTTGTAAAAAATATTATCAGTTAATAAGACAGTTCATACACTTTTTATAGTGAACTCATACACCAAAGGTAAGCTGTGTTGTAACAATTCTTATTTGTATAATCGCTGTAACTCAGCTTCCCAGTGTTTGAAGGAATATTTTGATGAATATTCAGTCTGAAAAACAACATACTCACTCAACACTTTTATTTAGAAAAAAAAGCTTACTTACTTACTTGCGCCTGTTACTCCTAATGGAGCATAGGCCGCCGACCAGCATTCTCGAACCCACTCTGTCCTGGGCACTTTTATTAAAATAGCCATATTATGATATAATGAAATCAAGAATATATGAAGCGGAAAAAATATTCCAACAGACATCTGAAATTAGACTAGCACAGTTGTGTATGAAAGACGAAAGACTTTTGCATTAGTATAAAATTTTTGTCATGGTGTAAAAAGTGGCAATTATATTATAATACAAATGGACCAAAATGATCACAAAATCCATCCAATAATAGTTGTTAAGACTTAAGCTTGATATTTTCACGTAATGAATAGATTTGTATGATCAAATATTTGACTCAAGCTGTTGAAAATTACGTCGTATGACTTGACCAGTCCTGTCTGATTCACTCGGTGTATTTGATGTCCATCAAAAAGTTCAGAAATCCCTATTAAATACTTCGTAACTTTGACTTAAACAGACTTGTGGTGAAAAAAAAGGATCAAAATTCGTAAAATTGTTAGATAATTCAACGTAAAACAATATTCAGGAATGTTAATACATTTTATTGTGTTTTTCCATTATACCGATCAAATATTAATTATCTGTATGGGGATTTGTGCAGATTGTCATATTTTCACAGTTAGCTGGACCACCCTTGAAAACCTGGAAGCAATGCACGGCCTTTTCGTCCTAGTATGTAATTCCTCATCAGTAATTATCTGTCTTCGAGTTAATCGCTTATTATCTTCGACAACAATTTAACTTCCACTTTGCTATCTACAGTTATTTACAGAAAAATGTTTTGAAATGTTTTTATAAACTGAACAAATGTTATTACTTTATTAAGATACCTCTGAAAAAGATTCACTTTGTCTATTCTGGCTGGATTATTTCTATGGTAGTCTATCAACGTAGTCTTTCAGAAAACTCTGTTTTTAGAAGTACTTCATTTTTAACATGCTTAAACAATCATAACCATAAACCAACTATATATTTCTCAATTTTAGGTCCAACTCCGTAAACCACATTCAAATTATGGCCTCGGATTCAGTATTGCTGGTGGTCAAGATGTTGAAAATGATAACTTCCCTTCAACTGGGATATTTATTACACGTATTAGTCCAGGTGGGTTAGCCGATTTAGATGGTCGTATCATGCCTGGTGATCAGTTAATGCAAGTAAGTCTACAATACGATTTACTATTTGCTTTGTTTTTTAATAGTTTCAATTTAGATCGCTTCATGATTTAAAAATAATGACAGAAAATATAAATTTTATCATTGAATTTATAATTATGATTAGAAAATATATTTGTTATGACTTTATGTCCGGCAAGTTATCACGTGATTTATCCACTAATCGAAATTCGACTATACAGTCTTCACATTGTGCTAAACCAATGACGTTCGAACGATATGAGCAGCCTAGCGTCTTTATTGGTCCCTTGTCCGCCTAGCCCGTCTAGCTGAGTCCAGAATGCCAATAACAGCCTCCACTATGCGAATCATTTATTTCAGACATACTGGGTTTATATATCAACCAAACAGACCGCAACACACCATAAAATAGGAATTAACATTCATACACAAATAAGCCAAAAAGTGGTTGTGAACGTGGGAGACGGTAGTTAATAAACTGAACATAATTTAGGAACAGTAAATTGTATAATAATAAATTATAGGTCAAAATGAAGCTTATAATAAGATGAATATAAATATACAATCTAATTACTGAATAGTTATACCATAAGAGTATATCGATAATATTAGTCCATTAATAGGTCTCAGGACTTACTCGTGATTTAATCTTCGCTCGGATATAACAATATTTGTGTTATATTTCTTAAAATCTATTTAATATACTTTTATTATTCATAAAGAGAAATACTACATTTTAATTTGTTCAATTTTTCATCGGTAAAAACTTACCTACTACTTTTGCCTATTACAAACTACTTTATTCACTATAAATTACAATATTTGCAATTATTTTATGAACTGGACAAGTATATAATATCTGAGTGTAGACAAGACTGTATATATTCCATTTACTTTAAGCGGAATAAGAAAAGTAGCTGAAATTCTTCTTCATTTATTAAGCTACTATGTTTATAGCATTACAGTATAGTCTAGTTTACAATACATTTGAAATATAAGTTATACTCACCAGTTTTCATACTATCGTCTTTAATAAAACATTTAAACGGAAATTCCTAGATACCTATGATTAAGTTAGAGAAAAAATGATTCATTTACGTCGCGGCAGTAATAATTTGTATTGATCAATCTGTTAGAAATGGCTTAATTTGACTATCTAGATTTTTACCATAACCAATATTTTCATGTTAGGTGTTCTGTTTAATGAATAATCTGCATTCATTTTTATTTTCCCCTTCAAATGATTTATTTTTGTAGGTGAATGAAATTGACCTAAGTCATGCTACTCATGAAGAAGCTGTTCGAATACTTCGTAATGCAGGTGATATTGTAAATTTAGTGTTAACACGTCAACGAGTAGAGAGTTTTGATGAACCTGGTTCGTTAGAGCATTCAACAAATGCTGAATTAACACGTAAATATCAAATAAGTAGTAATCGAAAACTTTCATAACAAATGCTTAATAAACACATGCATATCATATTTCTTAAAGTATTTATTGCCCAATCATTTCGTTCTACATCAAGAAAAAACTGTAAATAATTACGTACATGTATATCAAACTTTTTATATCCTTTTTTATGATAGAGTACCGCTTTTCTAAATAAAATTAATGAAAATCTTTTAGATTACACAAGATTATTTTCACCTGGGATAGATGTTCGTAATTGTGTGTCATCGAAGTTGAATAATTTGTTGGAACTCCATTTTTATCGTGTTCACTTTAAAGCTATTCCTTTTGGTGCCAATAGAAAATATGTATTTGTTATTAGGTTCATGATACAGTTGTTCACTGAAAAATAAGTGTTATATATCAGGAAGCTTATGCAGAATTCAAAATAGTAAAGAGACAAAGTGTGTAACAGCATCACTTAGTTATGTGCGTCCTAAAGTCTGACAAAGCATCCATCGACTTATAATTATTAAAACAGGTTCAGATTATTCAATCATTGATATTGTTTACTGAATTTTTGATTATTCTTGATTAGCATGTGTTCCTTCTGAGAAAATCGCTTTGATATATCCACTTTTCTCAAGTTTTTATGGGAGAAATAGATTTTGGCTAGCTGCGGAATCCAGTACGCGCGTTCCATCTTAACTGCGACTCGCCACTTGGGTATACAAGCATCCTTGTTAATATTAACTGTGAAACTCGAATCCAGCACTGTTAGATTCAAACGCCGAACGCGTAGTCCACTGAGCTACTTATCCCATTTACTTGTCATTGGGGGTCGGAACTACTGAAAGAAATAGCAAACACAAAACTTGGGTTCATATTTTTCTTAATACTTATCTTAAACAACTAGCTTTAAAACTAAAGCGTAACATGTCGTGTTGTTTAGCTAAATGATTATGTCGCGTCCCTTAATCGATAGGTTTTGATTTCAGTTTGGGCTTTTAGAACGGCAATAATGTAGCTCATTGGACAGGTATAGGTTCATTTACCTAACCATGAGTCAAACATCACGCATACCTGTAGCACGTAGTATTAGCGTTTACTTGGAAGCAGGAGTGATCTGAAACAACAACACAACAGTCAGGACTAGTAAATACCTCTGAAGTAAGAACGCGACGTACTGGCACAACAGATAATTTTTTTCAAAATTAAAAGACGCGGTTCTGTACAAAAAGGGAAACTTATTATAAAATAGTTTTAGCCACCGTTCTGGAGATTCGGCTTACGTACGGTTTGTTTCTCTTCTACTAGTACATTTACTCTTTGCTGCCCTGCAATAAAATAACAGACTCACGTAAGCAACGTCACATATAATGTTTTTTGATACTGTTACATACTTTTTCGGTGTACCAGGTGCATCTTATCCTTGGTGATACTTTGTTAGCCAATCTATTAGGACAAATCCCAGCGTCATATTTCTACTGCTCATTTTATTTTATTTACAAAATAACCCATTTAAGTGTTTCAGTTTTATTTTAATTAAATCCATAATCTGCATCAAGAAATAAATCAAATAATTCAACAAATAAAATTTCATTTTTTTAAAGCCGTATGATTATATTCATGCAAAAAGCAATATATACTGAACAAGTTTAGTATATTGACATTTGTATAAACATTTCGTGTAACATTTGGGGCCCAGTTCATATTATTTAATAAAACAGCTTAGTCAGTGATTTAAAACAATTTTTCGCTCGTCTAAATTTAAAATGTAACGGGAAAAAGTAGTTGATTTACCAGATCAGTTTCCAAACTGTAATTTAGTCACTAACAATTTAAGCACTCTGCAGATTATATTTCTTTAAGGTCTTTCTAACTGTAATCATTAGTCGATTGATGTCAGATCACTACCTGGTATGGGACTTCTCAACATTGCACATCCCATACTAGAACGAAACGGCCGTCCAGTGCTTCCAGGTTTTCAATGGTGGTCTAACATCAATCGATTCATGATCTCGATAGAAAAAAAACTTAACAATATCCACAACATATACTGATATAACTGTAACCTGAAAATGTCAGAAATAATCCTTCCTTTTTTACTTGTATGTAACGAAGATAATTGCATGAATTTGATTTGACTTCATCTGGACTCAGGTATTCAAAAGGTACTATGTTTTTGATATGGTTTAATTTTCTCTCAATTTCTTCAGGTCAGTCTTCAAATAAGATCTGAAATGTTTTTGGTATGCTAAGATGCTCTGTCCTACTGTTTTTGAAAGTGTAGAGTATAGTTTTGAAGTATAAAACGACCGTATATGAGCTACATCTTTTAGGAAAACAACTATTTTTTAGAAGCAGTTAAAGGAATTCCTCTGCACAATATTAGGATAATATTTTGCCTTTGTAAAGTCCACCAAATTGTCTAACAACACAACTGAGTTACGTGTAAAATCGAGGTTCAAAAAAGATTTATCTTCAAAACAGTTCTTTTGGCGGTATATATATATATATATATATATATATATATATATATATATATATTGCTTACTCACGCCTGTTACCCCCAATGGAGCATAGACAGACGACCAGTATTCTCCAATATACTCTATCATCAGCCTTCCTTTCCAGTTCTATCCAATTCTTATTCATTTTTCTCATGTCTATCTCCATTTCCCGGCGTATTGTGTTCTTCGGTCTTCCTCTTTTCCTTTGGCCTTCAGGATTCCATGTGAGGGCTTGTCTTGTGACGCAGTTCGGTGCTTTCCTCAATGTGTGTCCTATCCATTTCCAGCGCTTCTTCCTGATTTCTTCCTCCGCTGGGATCTGGTTTGTTCTCTCACACAGTACGTTGTTGCTAATAGTGTCCGGCCAACGGATCTGAAGTATTTTGTGTAGACAGCTGTAAATAAACACATGTATCTTCCGGATGATGGATTTCGTAGTTCTCCAGGTTTCCGCCCCAGTAGACAGTAGAACTGTCTTGACAATTGTATTGATATTTCTGACATTGGTGTTGGTTGACAGTTGCTTTGAGTTCCAGATGTTGTTCAGTTGTAAATATGCTGCTCTTGCTTTTCCGATCCGCGCTTTCACATCTGCATCAGATCCACCGTGTTCATCAATGATGCTGCCCAGATATGTAAAGATTTTACATCTTCAAATCTTCTCCGTCAATTGTGATTGGATTAGTGCATTCTGTGATGTATCGGAGAATCCTGCTTTTCCCTTTGTGTATATTGAGACCTAGTGCTGCTGAGGCTGCTGCCACACTGTTCGTCTTCTCCTGCATTTGTTGTTGCGTTTGGGATAGAAGGGCCAGATCATCTGCGAAGTCTAGATCATCCAACTGCATCCTAGATATCCACTGTATCCCGTGCTTCCCTTCTAATGTTGACGTCTTCATGATCCAGTCGATCACCAGGAGAAAGAGAAAGGGTGAGAGTAAGCAACCTTGTCTGACACCGGTCTTCACTTCGAACGACTTTGTCAACTGTCCTCCATGCACGATTTTGCAGTGTAATCCATCATATGAACTCTGTATGATATTGACTATCTTCTGAGGCACGCCGTAGTGTCGAAGAAGTTTCCATAGTGTTGTTCTGTCCATGCTGTCAAATGCTTTCTCGTAGTCAATGAAGTTGATGTAGAGTGATGAATTCCATTCAATTGACTGTTCCACAATGATCCGTAGTGTTATGATTTGGTCTGTACACGATCGATGCTTACAGAATCCAGCCTGTTGGTCTCGGATTCGGTCGTCTACGGAGTCCTTCATCCTGTTTAACAATATCCTGTTGTAGACTTTTCCTGGTATTGAGAGAAGAGTGATGCTGCTGTAGTTATCACTGTTGGTGAGATCGCCTTTCATTGGTATTTTGATCAGAAGTCCTTCTTTCCAGTCTGTTGGTACTTGTTGCTCATCCCAAATCTTATTGAAGAGAACGTAGAGTATCCTTGCAGTTACCGCTACGTCTGCTTTTAGTGCTTCTGCTGGAATGTTATCTGGTCCTACTGCTTTGCCACTCTCGATTTGTCTGATGGCCATGCTAATCTCTTCAATTGTTGGTGTGCCAACATCGATTGGGAGGTCGGTGGGTGCTCCTTCGATGTTGGGAAAAGACAATGGATATCGATAGGACATACATTACGCAAGTTTTCATCTGTGGTCTAATGTTGATCGATCCATGATAACAATTAAAATTTATGTCCGTTACATCACACCTTCTTAAATGCTTGAAATGATACTGGTTACTAAATAATAATAAGTAGTATAAATCAATATACATAAAATGAGTGTGATGGTTAGAAACAAGACGAAAAACAAACGAACTTAATAGCTTGTTATATGAAGAATTGAAACTGGTAATAAGTTCATGATGAGTAAAAGAGTGCATAACGTTTCACCCCCGAATGCCCTGGTACGGCCGAGAGTGGGGTTAGTCCGCTCTCCCTCTCGAAATACTCTCACACGGCCGCGCGTATACAGCCTCTGCCAGGGAAGTCCTACTCATTGCCTTATTGTGGCGGGGGTGTTGTTCACAAAAATGAGAGGACGAAAAGCGAATGTCCGGCGCTTTAACCGGATTCCAAACCAATGGTGCACATGGGCTCCAGTATCCTGAGGGAACAAATGGCGTATGAACCAATCGTTGGTCACCGGCTACCATGGGACTGCATCTCCTTACGATGCTCCACTGCCTTGTGGGTTAGTCCTTTAGGTCGAAGGCTCGGGGAGTGGCCCCCTAAGATAACCACCTGCTTCGGTTTGGGCACCCGGGCAGTATCACAGCCCACACACAAACGATGAACTCTATGTCTATGGCGACCACTTTTCTCGCTCCGAAAAACAATCAGTCGATTCAAATAATTATCATTACTATTATTGTCATTATTAATACTATTATTATTACTATTGTTGTCATTATTATTATTATTTTCCACATTATTCACCCTCTTTTATACTTATACAGCGGCTCGTCTTTGGTGGAAATCCGACTGTATCTAAACGTTCTCGAGTCACTGTCCGGTTGAAAATTGTATTTTACCATCGAATATGAGTATTGAAGCAGTTTTTCTGAAACCACGTGTGCCATTCAAACTGGCTGCCTTCAACGTTCGCACATTTATGCAGGTTGGTCAACAGATAGGGCTGGCTATGTCTTTGGAAAGTCTTAATATTGATGTTTGTTGTCTATCCGAGACCCGTATTCAAGAATCTGGCGAAGTACTACAAATTTGCTCTACATCTGTCACTTCAAAAAGCTTGTTTTATGTGCGCTTATCCGGGGACCCTGTGGCATCTTCGTCTGGTCTTGCTGGCGTTGGTGTCGCACTAAGCGCTAGAGCTGAGGCAGCACTAGTCGATTGGATCCCCATTAACAGTCGGTTATGTGCTGTTAGATTAGAAAGTTCCATCAAAGTGAGAAGAAATCGGCGTGAGAAACGATGTCTTTTCGTCATCTCCGCCTATGCCCCGACAGATTGCAGCCCGGATGCAATCAAGGATGAGTTTTATCACCAGTTATCAGTT